ATGTTGCTTTTCTAAGATCTGGAAATGCAAATGTGGGTTAAAAAAAAAACAAAAAACCAGCCGCTCTGTGGAAGGCAGAAGAGTGACAGTGGATGAGGGCTGGATTGGAGAAGAGGTGCCAAGACACAACGTCTGAGACTTGGGGCTCCCACACACACGGGGGTTCAAAAGAACCTGCCACAAAACCTATGAGACCAAGGAGAGGAGCCTGGAGTCAGTACCAGTGCAGAAAGGCATGTTCTAGGACATGAAGGTTTTCAGCCCATGACCTAATCCCTAGCATGATATCCAGTAAGTAAGCCCGTCTGTATACACTCAGTTATGGGGCTTGGAATTTTGGGGGCTTGGGAGACGGGTCTATGGGTAGAATACTTACTATACAAGTGTGAGGATCTAAGTTTGGATCCCCAGAACCGTGTGAAACCTGATGCAGCAAGGCGCCTGTGATCTCCATGCTCCCATGCCAGGATGGAAGGCTGAGGGGAGACATCCCACATGTGCTTGGGGCCACCTGTGTCAACGTAAAAGTCGAGGAGACTGGGGGTTCTCCTCTGAATTCCCACCTGCATGCCACATGCACTTTCCCAGTTAAATAAAAAAAAATATGAACAATTTAAAGCCAGGTATGGAGACTCACACCTGTAAACCCAGCATTCAAGACAGAGAGACAGGAGAATGTTCCGTGCTATGCTGAGGCAAAAAACAAAACAAAACAAAAGAATCAAAGTAAATCAAATAATAACTTTACATTCAGGAAAAAGCATACATAGAACAGAACGCCATGATTCTGTAGTGCCTATAGGTAGGTAGCGGTTTAGAAAACGTTTAGAAGGATATGCCACACAGAGGAAAGGCACTGGGGTGGCTCAGGCACCTTCAGCCTTGTTTTCTGGCTGACAGCCCCTGCTCTGGCTTTGGTGATGCTGCCCCCTGGTGGCCCTGGCAGGACCGGAGTCCTAGGGTTTCTATCTCTGTGATAACACTTCAAGACCAAAAGCAACTTGGGAAGGAAAAGGCTTATTTCATTTTACAGGTTGTAGTTCATCGTCAATCAGGACGGGAACTCAAGGAAGAAACCTGGGGGCAGGAGCTGACACGAAGGCCGTGGAGGAGTGTGGCTTGCTCCTCATGGTTTGCTCAACCTACTTTCTCAATAACATCCAGGACCACCAGCCCAGGGGTGGCACTGCCCACAGTAAGCTGGGCCTCTCTACGTCAACCATCAATCAAGAAAATGCATCCCAGGCTTGTCCACAGGCAAATCTAGTGGGGGAATTTTCTCAATTGAGATTCCCTCATCCAAAATGCTAGTATACATAAAACTAGCCGGCACAATTGTCAATTTCATACACAGACAATATCACTCTTCAACTAGAACCTTTCCTTTCTCATGTGTCCCCAAGATGACATGTTAATATTAGTATAGCAAAATAAATCACAAATAACTTTAAAAGTCCTACAGTCTTTAAAATTTAATTCCTTCAAACAGCCAAAATCCCTCTCAAAGTTTAAGCCTCTCTAAAATATCCGAAGTCTCTCTAAAACTCCAAAGTCTCGGTAAAATTCTGAGGTCTCTCAACTGTGGGCTCCTGTAAAATAAAAATACATTAAATAGCCAGGCACAGTATTAATCTCTCCTTTAATCTCTGCACTCTGGAGGCAGGGGTGGGCGGATCTCTGAGTTCAAGGACAGCCTGGTCTACATAGTGACTTCCAGGACAGCCAGAGCTACACAGAGAAAACCTATCCCAACATGATGATGATGATGATGGTTGTGGTGGTGATGATGAAATAGCAGCTAAACACATTCTCATAGAAGGAAAAACTAGGACACAGATACATTCAATAAAAACAGAACCAAAGTTCAACAGCAGAAAGGTCAGTGTCAGACTTCTGAGACTCACAATATTCTAGCTTCCAAGGTTTTGCCACAGGACACAAGTTTTATAGGCTCAGGCCAGCTCCAGTCCACATCTACTGCTTCCCTTGGAGGCCACCCCATGGCACTGGCAACTCCAAAATGGTGTTTCTTATGCACGTGGCCTGCATCTTCACCAACAGCCTCCCCAGGCTTCTCTTCAGGGACTCTAACCCCGATACACAGTGCCAAGCCTCAGCTGCTCTCATTTCCTCTTCATGTCTTCAAAATCAGTGCCACCTGGAAGACTTACACATTACCAAACTCTGCTGCCAGCACAAGGCGCAGCCTTGGCCCCCTGTGGACCACAGCCTCTCTGTGCTGACCCTAAGGAGTTGCCAGGTGTGGTGGATGGTTCACCATTAATCCCAGCCTTTGGGAGGCAGTGGCAGGCAGGTCTCTGAATTCGAGACCAGCCTAGTCTACAGGGTGAGTTCCAGGACAGCCAGGGCTGCACAGAGAAACCCTGTCTGGAAAAACAAGCAAACAAATAAATAAGTATGCTGAATAAGTCACGTTGAACAAGCAGTGCACAGCATTTCTCTGTGGCCTCTGCTTCAGGTCCTACCTCCAGGTTCCTGCCCTGACTTCCTTCATGACAGACTGTGATTGGGACTTATGAGCTGAAGCAACCCTTTCCTCCCCAAGTTACTTTAGCTCGTGGTGTTTTGTTTCAGTAACCCTGAGATACTCCCCATTGTCCATCCCGCCTCCATGACCCCCAGGATGGTGTGATGAGAGTCCCCATGGCCCACCCCTCACTACTGGACCGCAGGGCACTTTGTGGAGTAGACAGAGCAAAGGGGAAGGAGGGAGGAGAGGGAGAAACAGTGTGCAAGAGATGAAGGGTGAACAAGAGAGAGAGAGTGAGCGAGAAGGGGAGAGCGGGGAGAGAGGGTGGTGTGTGAGAAAGGGAGAGAGTGAGTGAATGAATGAGTGAGTGAATGAGTGAGTGAATGAGTGAGTGAGTGAATGAATGAATGAGTGAATGAATGAATGAGTGAGTGAATGAGTGAGTGAATGAGTGAATGAGTGAGTGAGTGAATGAGTGAATGAGT